CTCCGCAAAACGTCAGTCGTGATCAACTCAACCAATCTGCTGCCTCGACAACAGCCGCATGCCCGCACAAGATGTGTGAGAATGGCCGATGGGACAGAGGCAGGATCGAGCAAGCGAGGGTTACCCGCCATCAGATTAACCACTGCCGTGCACATGGGTTGACGCCCATGCCTCACTATGTCGCCAACTCCTCGCACCGAGGACAATGCAGCGTGGGGAGCCACATCCGGGCTATCTGTGGGCCTCGGAATCGCACCAGAGCAATAATTCCCTCCAAGGCCTCGGCAGCTTGCTCTAGGGGCTCGACAAACCCCGAGACCCATGTCCGCCAAAGCCCCCGCGATGGCTTGGCCTCGGCACCTACAGAGCCACAAATTTCTCACGACGCCATCACGCGATGACTCAGACGCCCCCCGGATCAAGCGGGGTTACCCGTCACTATGCTATCCACCGTGCACATGGTTGACACCCATGCCTCACTCAGGCCGCCAACTCCCGCCCAAGGACAACGCAGCATGGGGAGCCACGTCTGGCTATCGTGGCCTCGGAATCGCACCTGTGGCCAATAACTCCCCCAAGGCCTCGACAGCTTTGCTTCACGGCTCGGCAAACTGAGGGTCCATGACCACCGAGCCCCCACGATGGCTCGCCCTCGGCATCCGCAGAGCCACCGCTTCCCACGACGCCATTACATCGGCGACCAAAGACGTCGCCCGCCATGTCCCGCATCAAGCCGCATCGGAGCCCCACGACGCACAAGACCGAGTATGACCAAAGATGTCACTTCCGCATGACAAGGACGGGGCCACTCCATCGACCATACCACAACAAAGGGCCGACTACAGTGGCTCTGGACACGCCACCCCATTTACAGAAGCGCTATGTAGCACTGCAGCGGGGTCCCGTCCTCCCTTAGAGTATAAAAGGGAGGGATCAGGCCATTTCTGAGAGAGAGGCCAGAAAAGACGAACACGCCGATAGAACCACGCACTCCCACGCTTGCTTGGGAACAACGCCTCAAGCAGCCCGCACCACACTCGCCGAGACCAGGGCTAGTTCCTCTCTCACCTAGCTTGTAACCCCTACCACGAGCACTCCGGTGCAAGGAATACAAGATCGATCTCTCGACTGGACGTAGGGCCTCGATTGCCTGAACCAGTATAAACCTTGTGTCTCTTTGCGCCACCATCCGGAATTAGGGGCACGCAGCACAAATTCACTCGTTGGTTGAGGGACCCCCGGTTCCAAAACACCGACAAGTAGGAAAAACAAAGTAAATTCATAGCATCCTCCTTTGTAAGGGTTATGTTAGCAGAAATCGCTTACAGAAAAAACATAGAAAATTTTCCTTTATGTTTGATTACATTGAAAAATAATGGAAAAACATCCACTTAAACCCTACTGTTTCTTTTTCCTTGTGTTTTTCTATTATTTTTCAAACATCCATTCCTACAAAATTATTAGGATAGATTTGTCATATAACCTACTCCCTCCGTCCCTAAATATCTGTCATTTTTATTTTTCGAGAAACAACTTTGACTAAATATATATTAAAAATATTAACATTTATGATACATAATTAGTATCATTAGATAGATATTTGAATCTAGTTTTTAATAAATTTATTTGGAGATAGAAATATTGCACGCATTTTCTATAAATCGAGTCAAAGTTATCAACACGTAAATCGTGGCGACAAACATTTAGAGACGGAGGAAATACTAGTTTTTGCCGATCGATGCTATTTAATACTATCTTTGCTTTAGGACCCCTCCAAATGCACCATTTAATACCATAGCTGTTAAAATAATATTTTAGGAATAAAAAAGAGTGACCATTGTGACCTTGACTAAAAATTGTTAACCTTTACATATAAAGTGGAATGAAAATATACTTTATATCAAACTTATAGAGCTCAATAAAATCTACTTTGCCAAGTTTTATTTAAAATTATTCAAATGATATTTTTTAAAATTATAAAATTTTGTAATTCAAATTTTAGAGTTTTCAAACAATCTCGGATGTTGACATGATTGTTCAAAAATTCTAAATTTTGAATTTCAGCCATTGATGATGTAAAAGGAATATTTAACACTAATAATTTCAATTCACCCATTAAAAAAAGGGACTTGCTAAAGTTCATATGCTTGGATTTTAGTTTTCCTTTCAGACGACGGTTATTACATATATTTTATACTTAAATTATAGATTTCATTCATTGCAATTTCAGTTGGTGCATTATGCAATTTTCGATACCGAGAATAGAAACCCCGTTAGACAAACCCACAAATGTGACAAAATCTGATTTATGTTGGCACAAAAATAATTAACAATTTATAATTATTTCTATAGACAGACAAGGACAAAAGTTTAATATGTTATGGCACAAAGACAAATAACAAATCACAAATTTGTATTAATCGGTGGTACAAGAATGTTGTCTGAAATCATCTTAAAATTTAGGGACATAAATATAGGGGAAGTGATTAAGGTGATGTTTAAATTCACGGAGTAAAGTTTAGGGATATCACATCGGGTGTTATATCGGGGTGTCACGTGTGAGTGTTCGGATAATAATAATAAAATAAATCACAGAAGTCCTGAGTAATCCGCGAGACAAATTTATTAAGCCTAATTAATCCATCATTAGCACATGTTTATTGTAGCACCATATTGTCAAATTATGGACTAATTAGGCTTAAAAAATTCGTCTAGAAAATTAGTCGTAATCTGTGCACTTTGTTTTTTAGTCTATATTTAATACTCTGTGTATATGTCAAACATCATGTGATAGTGAGGAAACCTCGGGGCGAAAAACTAAATAAGATTGAGTAGATGTCATCGGCAGTGATCACAACCCTAAAGATGGCAACAGGCAGAAAATATCCGTGTACCCGCGGGCACCCAAACCGGTGGGCGAGGATATGGACGCGAACATGTGCCCGCGGGCACGGGTGCGGGCAGAGGTATAAACCCAACGAGCATTCATTAACGGGTAAGAAAACATAAGCAGATTGTTTGGGTGGCTAATATCAAGCATTGTCCCCTCACACAGTACTTTATTCACTGAACCACCACCAACAAGATTTCTCTCTCACATAAACGAACCAAAGAACGACATTTAACCAAACCCAACCGCATTCAAACAGCCGATACTATCTATTTCCGTAAACCCGTCTTAGTTACCTGTTGGGGTCACAGCCAACCAAGTATACATTGGAAGTTTGGAACCCTAGTTTCATTCCATCCCCACCCGGCCACCCCACCCGTTCCCTCCTGCCGCCGCCGCTGCCTTCCTGGCTTCCAGCTTCCCACGGTCCACACCGGGCTCCTCCACTCATCTCCTTTCTCCGTTCCCTTTCAACCAGAGCAAGGCCAACACGGGCTCCTCCATCCCCATCAGGCGACTCCTCTAGCAGAGCAAAGTGACCTTTGACGATAGTAGGATGGCAAGTCTGCAGCTTGCTGCGGATCTCCTCGCTTCTCTCTGTGTCTCTCACCGCTGCTCGATCTGCAGGATCTCCTCTCTCTCTCTCTGCGTGCTCGATCTGCAAGAGTGCAACATCTAGGTGCTTATTCCCATTATTGATCTGTGGATCTCGCTTTTGTTCTTTTTCGGCATAGGGAGTTGTGACCTATAAAAAGAGTCTCAGAATTTGTGTGGTCCTTAATCGCTCTTGCAAGATGCGTTTTTGCATTTTCATGCTTTTGGATTATTGATTGAGCTTGCAAGATGCGTTTTTTTGTATTTTTTGTTCTGAATCCCGATCGGCGCCCAGATCCATCGGAGACCCCGCACCTCATGAGGCCACGACCCGGCACCCGCCTCCTTTGTCGTACCCACCGCGACGCTCCTCTCAAGGCGTCGCTCGTGCCTCCTCTACTCATGTGTATGCGGGCATGCCATGGTGCTTAAACATCCCAAGATGCGGGTGCGGGCGCGTTTTGGTGCCCGTGGCGGATTGGCGGATGGAGCGAACACAAAATTTTCTCACGAGTGCAGGTACGTGCTATTAGTATCCACGCGGATATTACCCGTTGCCATCTTTACACAGCCCACAGGTGACCGGATGAGAGAGACTTTTGAGTTTGCTGCAGGAGGCAATGGCTTGTCACGTCAACGTTAGCCTCTTGTTGCATCGGTGACTGGAACCATATGGCCTGACAAGGTTAGCCCAGCGTGTTCGGCTGGGGCTTTGGGCTGGTCAGCCCCCTCGTATAGACACTCACTGGTACAGAACAAAGTTTTACTCCTGGTGGGGAACCCCCTCTAGTCCCGGTTCCTCACCCGGGAGCAAGCATCCGGGACTAAAGGACCCCCTTTAGTCCCGGGTCAGGAACCGGGATTAAAGGGGGACTTTTAGTCTACGGTATAACATCAACCGGACTAAAGGTCCTCCCAACTTAAAAAAATAATCAGCCCACCACCATCAGGTGACCGGAGATTCAACCCAAGACCTCATGCATTGCTTTGCTGCAGCTTACCACCCCTTCTACAACACATCATCCTGACAAAGGATGGGATGCTTCCATTGGAACTAACTTATCGGGGACCTTTAGTCCTTGGTGTTACCAACCGATTAAAGCGGGTTCAATTAATCCCGGTTTTTGTTACTAACCGGGACTAAATTTTGGATTTTTAGTCCCGGTTGGTGGCTCCAACCGTAGGTAAAAAAATACCTTTTATACAATTTGGTGTCTCAATCGTGAGATGGAAGGTCCCCCTTAATTAGTCGCAGATGATCGTTACTCTCGGTTAGAGACACCAACCGGGACTAAAGGTCTCTCTAGTCCCGGGCACAAAAAATGCCGGAACTAGAGTCCATTTTAACCTCAGATGAAAGGTTTGTTCTCTGCCCGTGACTGTTCGTATAAACCAGTCGGTACTTCTCTCTCAAGTAAATCAACCAACATCTCGTTCCGAAGCCCAAGGAACATCTCGTTCCTGTTCATCTTCTCCACCCAGCCAGTGCCCTCTAGCCTTATTTCGGCCCGCGCCAATGGCCGCAGCCTCCTCCGTCGTGGAGCTCTGCACGTTGGCGAACGCGAAACTCGACGCCGCCACCTGGGCGACGTTCTTCAACGACGACGACGGAGCCGGAGCCATCAGCAGCTTCTCTTGGCCCGAGGTGGAGAGGACGCCGTCGAGGCTTACCAGCCAGACCGCGCTCCAAGCACTCTGCGAAAAGTATCAGGTCCCGGCTGACTACATTCCTATCAATCTCGACAGCCACTGGGTGGCCTGCCGTCCGCCGCCGGAGGGCTCTAACGCCATCTGCGTCTACGCCGACGCGCTCGAGGCCGGCATGAGGATTCCGCTCCATGAGTTCTATGTGGCGATTCTTGGGCACTACGGCCTCGCGCCGAGCCAGCTCGCGCCCGACGCGTGGCGCTACATGGCCGCCTTTGTGCTGCTCTGCAAGGACGCCGGCGTCGAGCCCACGCTGCGGGCTTTTCGCTCATTCTTCTCCATATGCACCCACAAGGCGGGGTGACTACGTGGGGTGGCACCACTTCAGCTGCAGGCCGTACTTCGAGTCGCACTCCGGCGTCACGACCGGCCTCTTCACTGCCAGGTTCTTTCACCTCCGGTCCCCATCGACGATGCCTTGGCCATGCGCGGTGAAATGGGGGAAACCAAGCAGAGCAGCTGTCCGCTTGCCGGAGGTGACATGGGACACGGTCGTGAAAAAGCTGTTGGAGAGGGCGGGGGGCTCAGCCATTGATGTCATAGAGTTTCTCTCCCGGCGCAGTCCGCCCGTCGTCGCCCCGCCGCAAGACGCACCGAGAGACAGAGTTCGACTTACCTTTACCCCGCAACAGAAGCACAAGCTGGTCAAAGTTGGAGCCGCCGTCGGCGCCGCTGCCGCAGCTCCCACTAACGAGGAAGCGCAAATCCTTTCCCGACACGCACACGCACACGCACACGCACACGCGGGGATTGGTTGATTGCTGATTGCATCGCGGAGGCGTCAGAGTTGGCGAAAAAAGCCATGACCGAGCTTGATGAAAAGGGAAAGGAGCTGCAGGCGACCAGAGGGGAGGTCGCCCACCTCAAGGAGCAAGTGCGCGCCGTGAGAGACAAACACGCGGGCGACGTCGCTCAGCTCAAGGAGGCGTTGAGCGTCGCAAATGCTCACCACGCGTACGAGGTCCGCCGACTCGCGGAGGAGCATCACAAGGCACGCACCGCGCATGGCGAGGAGACGAAGGCAGAGCGCGCGTCCGTGGTCGCTAAGCTCCAGGAGGAGCACGCGGATGGCGTCGCTCGGCTCAAGGAGAAGCACGCGGCCGACGTGGCTAAGCTCCAGGACGATGTCGCTCGGCTCAAGGAGGATCACGCGGCCGACGTCGCCCGTGTGAAGGATGCCGCCGACAAGGAGGTGCAGGATGCCAAGAAGAACATCGTGCTCCGCCTCTTCCCGAAACTGGACGTCTCACTGCTGGAACGACCAAAGCTCAAGGGAGATCTCGCTGCTGCCGGAATGCCCAAAGCTCAAGGGAGATCCTGATAAAACCGCAGATCGATCAGTGGCATCATGAACCACCAGTAAGTTGTTTGTGATCTTGCAGTTTATGTACTTTTTGTGTATTTCTGTTTTGTAGAGTTTTTTCCCTTATTAATGGTGGCACAGCCTACATATGGTTCACCATCTGCATACTGAAAATTACTTTTAGATGTGTGATTCATATCTTTGTTATGAGAAACTACATGATAGTTTGGCACCAAGATGTTATTAAGAACTAAATGGTGACTTAGTATATGTGGACTTCAACCTTTGGATGACAAATTGACAATTGTGATACTCAGTAATACAATATCATGATTCATGTATGTAATTGCCTCATCATAGATCTTCCAAAAGTGTATTATATGTAGTGATTAAGCATAATGGTACAAGAAATAATACGACCACACTGTCTTAGGGCAACTCTAACCAGCCACCTATCTCAACTCCTATCTTATTTTTGAGGGTTCAAATATAAAATTTCGTCTCCAACCAATCCCTCATCCAAACCCCGATGGATGAGGGTCTCCTATTTCTCTCTCATCATCTCCTAGATGTGGGGGACTCTCAACCGATCCCTCATCTGCCTGGGAGACCAACGGCCCGGTTCCGTGCGTTGCCGTTGAGTTTTCCGTCCAGTGCGCGCGGCCGCTTCCTTCTTCTACCTGTGTCCTTCATCCCTGCTCGCGCTCGGTCAAGGGCAACGGGTGATCTGTATTCATTGAGAGAGTGAGGGAGAAGAACATGTGCGTTATGGATCTGGCTGCGCCAGCCACGCTCCGATCTCCTGCACGCGCGCTCGTTCCGTGGAGGCCAGCTCGTCGGCGCGCCCGAGTGCAGCCCCATCTTGCCGCTGCCGCACCTGTACGCGCAGCCACCGCTGGCCAAACCAGCCCTGCAAGCTTTGGCATTATTTAATTAAGCTTTGCCACTGCTCCCAACTGGCCCACGTTGCCCCACCCGTAGCAGCGTGGAGTGTTGTGAGGGAGCTGTGAGAGTGGCATGAGGAGAGAAAAAAATAATAGTTGCAAATTATTTGAAAAAATAATTCCTCCAATATTTAGCCGTAAAAAATTGTTGTTAACAAATATCCATTCCAATAATACTAACACGGTTTAGATATAAAATACTGGACTTAGTAGTTAGAAGTTATGTATAAAATATAGGTGAGAGAAATTAGGGAGGCTGAAATGAGAGTTCGGTTGGAGTGCGGAGAGAAATGAGGGCTGAAATCGGGACGAGGGATCCTCATTTGTGAGAGTAGGGAGCCAAATTTTGAGGGATTGGTTGGAGTTGCCCTTACCACATCCATTTTAAGAAAGTAAATGTTAAATTCGCAAATTTATTTCAATGTCAATGTAATATCATATCATCTGAGATGACACAATAGTAAGCAGCTATAAAGAGCATACAAACTATGTACATTGCTCACATTCTCTTAGCAATATATTTGATTTGCATTGGTTTCACAGATGCAAAATTGCTAATCATGAAACCCCTCACTCAACTCTAGTATTAGTTCTGAAGAACTCTGTCACTTATAATTGAAGTGCCTAGTATTTGTATTTCTAATCCAAACAAAATAGAACACACACATATATATACATGTCTATCCAGTATTAAGCAGGCAGATCTCTGTCGAATCAGAGTTTAATTACTCTGTCTGAGCTGTTATGGAGTATGGACTGCTGTTGTGGATTACTGTTTCAATTTTCTTAGTTTGTTGCAAAAGCCTGGCATTCATCAAACTATGAGCTACAGATTAGTAGACTGACATTTTATTCCATTATGAATCAGCTCTACATGGCAGTTCCATATTTTGTTGATGGCCTTCCTTCGTCAAGAGGTTGAGTTCCTAAAGGCTAGTAGGAGAAATGAAGCCTGTTCTAAAGAAGTGTATGGTGACTGAACCTAGCTACCTGGTGAAGATGTTTTTTTTGGCATGGCCATGCACTGGTTACTTTTGGGAGTACATGTCATCAGTTTGGTATGTTCTTCTCTAGTAGTATGTATATAGGACGAGATTGACTCGGTTTTCTTCAGCTTGCCTAGTTTCAAACTGTTTCTTGCTGAATCAGGCAGGCAGGGTAACTAACATAAGATGGCTATGAAACAAAAACTCTGTACCTTGCCGTTACTTGATGATAACGGAAATGGGGTGGGTGGAGGATTGGGATGATGAGTGGTGCCTGATCTTGCAACGCCTGACTCTGGGCAGCGTCAACACCTGACTCTGGGCAGCGTGATGGGCACTCGACTGAAATCTGTATCAAATTAAACCTCTTATGTCCTGTTGTCAAATGATATAGTTAGATGGTTAAGAAAGATTGAACGATGCCTACCCTGTTAAGCAAATTATCACACCCAAACTTTTGATTCTCAAGTCACTGGAGGTTTCTGTACAGGTGAAACACAAAACGAGCTGCTGGTTTTGCTTGTCCAATCCTTGCATAACTTTGGTTCTCAAGTCATTGGTACTACTATGGTACTTGATGAATGGATACTTGACTTGTTCGGCCCATATGTGTTCGACCCATAAACTTAGGTTTCGCTTGACTCACATGCAAGTCCAGCCAGACTTGCATTGTTTGTGATGTGGCCACTGATTCTCAAAATAAGCGACGTTTTTTACTCTTAGGCTATGTTTAGTTTCCAAAAAGTTTTCCAAAAAGTGCTGCAGTAACCATCACATTAAATCTTGCGATAATTGCATGGAGCATTAAATGTAGACGAAAAAAAACTAATTGCATAGTTTGGTTGGAAATTGCGAGACGAACGTTTTGAGCCTAATTAGCCCATGATTGAACACTAATTGCCAAATAAAAACGAAAGCGCTACAGTAGCTAAATTCCCAAAATTCGCAAACTAAACACGACCTTAGATAACTCGATTGACCGTTTGTCTTGTTCAAATATTTTATGTAAATTATAAAATAAATAAATCATTATTAAAGTATCTCTAATGATGAAATAAGCTATAACAAAATAGATAATATTTATAATTTTTTTGAATAAAACAAATGGTCAAACAAGATACCAGAAAGTAAAAAACCTCACTTATTTTGAGACGGATGGAATATGTCTTTTGAATTTTAGTACTCCGGATGTGTTTGTGTTGAGTAGGACTAATTAACGAAGCCATTTTGTGGTGGTTGTCACTCTTAGCTATGCATTAGGGAAAGCTCTGTCACATGTTCAAGTGCTTAAAAAACAAATCTATGAGCCCAATTTTTATTGGCTCTTGGTGCTACAAATAATTGTCAACTCCTAAGACATCGTAAGATAACAAAGTCCATTTTTATCGAAGCATGACAAAAAACTAGAGAATCCGCTCCTCATAATGAACTAGAAAAAGAGGAAGAGCGGAGGCAAGTGGGTTTGAAACTTCTCCGGCTCCGGTACATTAGTGCTATCTCTTTCTATGAAATAGAGCAATGCAGCCGGGAAAGCCCTCCATAACTCTCTATATATCATTCTTATGATTGTACATTGAAGGCATTTTTTTTTGCGATAGTGGTATGCATTTTCTTAGCGGTCAGGGTCGTCAATTAGCCTTTCAATGAGCAACATTTCTCGCCAGCTTTGTAACCTTCGGCAAATTGAAGGAGCTCGACAGTTTTATTCACCCTGTTTTTCATTTTTATAGTATTTTTCAGCGAACGAATAATGTTTTCTTCTCACAATAAATCAATATAAGCATTAGCATAAGCTAAATTTTAGCGAAACGAACAGGATATATCTAAGAAATTTGCAATGCCCCCACAATCATCCATGATGCCATGGCACTAACCTTACCGTGGTGAGACACACCTAGAGGGCAGAGAAGGCAACCTCAAATACAAGATCTATTCCGCATTTAGGTAGCGGGAGGAAGCAAATGATTCAATATCTATTTTTAGTCTTCTCCAACAATAAGATCTAAAAAATAATTATTTCTACAAATGGGTCTCTCTGAAAGAGTCATACGTCATCTTATGCAACTGCTGGTCGCGGTGGCACCGGCAATAAGTCTTCCATATAGATCCGCCACGGGCTCCGCAGCATTATATTAGAGACTTATTTTAGGTTTGAGTTCTCAACCAATGCGGGATGGACGGCGGGCGGAAATGGACAGATGGAGCCGAGCGTAGGTTAGGATCACTTCGACGGCGAGGAGGGAGAGAGCATGTAGGTCCTATTTGGTTTCTACAAGCCCTCCTAAAATTTTCGTCACATCAAATATTTAGACACATGATGCGAACTATTAACGGCGGTCCGAATTATGAAACTAATTACAGAACTTAGATCTGGCGAGCAAGACGCAGATTAGAACTTTTGCCGCCTAATTAGTCCATGATTTGACACCGTGGCGAGTGCTGCGGTCCCGAATATGAGGGGCGACATATTAATTAGGCTTAAAAATTGTCTCGTAAATTAACCTTCACTGTGTAATTGGTTTTGTAATTAATCTATATTTAATGCTTTTTATTAGTATCTCCAACACCCCAGTAGTATGCTCGTGTAAAAAATCTTGGGCCTTATTTAGATTGCAAATTTTTGTAACCTATGGCACTGTAGCACATTTTGTTTGTATTTGACAAACTTTATCCGATCATGGACTAACTAGGCTCAAAAGATCTATCTCGTGATTTACAACCAAACTGTGTACTTAGTTATTTTTTTACCTATATTTAATGCTCTATGTATGTGTCTAAAAATTAATGTGATGGAGAGAGAGTGAAAAAACTTGGAATTTGGAGATGATCTAAACAAGGGCCTTGTTTAGATTGCAAATTTTTCATAAAATTCCGTCGGATATCAAATGTTTAGACATGTTTATGGGTATTTGTATTTACACAAAATTACACAACTTCCGATAATTTGCGGACTAACTAGGCTCAAAAGATCCATCTCGTGATTTATAACCAAACTATATAATTAATTATTTTTTTATCTACATTTAATATTTTATGTATATGTCTAAAAATTAATGTGATGGAAAAAAAAGTTAAAAAATTTAGAATTTGAAGGTGATCTAAACAAGCCGCCTTGGTTTCCTTCTTGCGCTACGCCAACTCCCGGCCGTCGCTACGGCTACGCCATCAGTGTGATGTGACACGATAAGATAGTGTATCCATGCATGCTTCGTACAGCACACCGTGAAGGGACAGGTGAATCGCGGCTGCAGGATTTGCAAGCCTGTCGCGTCTCCCGTCTCCCGTCTCCCGTCTCCGGCCGGCTTCCATGCCAAGGAATCCTTCCATGTGTTTGGACCTGCTCGTTTGAGGTCTATTCGATTCCGTGAGTAAAATTTAGGAGATATATTAGATGGATATTGTATAGGTTATTTGGATGCTAATAAAAAAATAAATTACATAATTTATTAGTACTCAATGAGATAAATTTTTTAAGCCTAATTAATCCATCATTAGCATATATTTACTATAGCAAAACGTTATCAAATCATAGACTAATTAGGCTTAAAAGATTCGTCTCGCTAATTAGTCGCAAACTATGAAATTAGTTTTGTAATTAGTCTATATTTAATACTTCATGCATGTGTCCAAACATTCGATGGAACAACGACTAAAATTTAGGAGGAGCAACCAAACACCCCTGAGTTACTTTTCAACCATGGAACAACGTTTTTTAGCAGAATCGTCCGAAATAACACGTTTTCGGAGATGCTCGTCTTCCACTAGACACTAAGCACCTTGAAAGTGAGCTACATCGGACAGTTTCGTCGAGCACATCCCAAGGGATAACTCGAAACAATCCACGTTTTACATCCAAAATCCAATAATGAGTACAAACTTATAATAATTAGTCCATTTCATTTAATAAAGAGTTCTTGAAAATTATTTATTACAATACCAGAGTTTAGAGTGCGATAATTAAACAATGGAATCAAAATAAACATCTAGCGAAACGATACAAGGATCCGTCTATACCCACCAGAAGAATCCTCCACATAAAGCTACTTCTCAAGCTGCACCTGCATCATGGGTAAAATAAACCTTGAGTACATAATTTACTGCAAAGACTTATCCGACTAGTGAGAATAGTTACATTCATATTGTATACTCTCTTTAGTGTTCACTGCCAAGCCCCTTTTGAAGTTTTTCCTTCTTTTGGATGAAATTTAATTGTTTTCCAGTTCCCAAAGCATATGCATTGATTGGCGGCTTATATATGCAGTTTATTTCTTTGGCAGTGACCAAGCTATTTAGAGCAATGCTTGCTATGTGATTAGAGGAGTTGCTAACGCAAATATCAGAAGGTGCTATTTTTGACATTCATTTTGGAAACATACCACAATACCATCATTATGTTTATTTAATTCATTTACTTGACAGAAGTTGATGCCATAAAAGTGCAGAGATCGACCAGTGTGAGCTATGAAGGATGCAACATTCTGTATAGAGTATTTCTGTTGCTCCCTAAGCCTGGTTGCTATTCTTTACCATGTCCTTCAACTCTATTACTCAATCCGTTCCAAATTATAAGCCGCTTTAACTTTTTTGGTTCATATGTTTTGCTATGTATCTAAACATAATATTATATTTAGGTGCATAGTAAAATAAATATATCAAAAAAGTTAAAGTAACTTATAATTTAGAACGGAATATAGTACTTTTATTTGATTGAGTGAGCTCATGCATGGTGGCATTCACATTTTATATGTATCTTCGACTCTCTTTGGTGATATATATTTTCTAGACTTTTTTCACTCATATATCAAGCTAAATGTTATTACTACTATTGATACAAGCATGCATTGTGGCTGGCATTACAATCAGTGTTGTTCAGTATATGTGGTCCATTGTTCTAAACAAGGCAGCTCGCCTGGGCAGGTGTAGGAACTATCTTCACTTTGTTGAATAAGTGCTGCAACAGGGCTTGTGAAATGTCAATAGCTTCGGAGTTGACCTGCTGGCTGTTTTTTTTTTTCTTATTCATGGACTTGTGGAGTCGTGGTCTCATCAACATCGGGAAAACTACGACTTCGGCCATAGCTAAACTTGTGAATAGCATCATTGTTATTTGTCAACCTAATATGTGTACTACTATGTCATCACTATCGCTTGTCAAGTTGGGTTTGTGGTATACTAGTACGTTCTATTACCCTGTTAGTGTCTTTGAAATACTGTTACACCTTCAATTTTAATTTATAAATTGTTTTATTTTTTCTAGATTCATAGATTTTAATTTATAAATTGTTTTATTTTTCTAGATTCATAGATTTTCTATACACCTAAAAATACATTATGTCCAAATACATAGTAAAACTATGAATCTAGAAAACCAAAGCAACTCATAATTTAGAACAGAACAAATACATCCAATCCTTAAATGGTGGAACGATCTTTCACATGGGATCCTAAATGTTGGAGTTAAGTAGTTAAGTAGTGTGCTATGTGGCTTTGGATGAAAATAGTACGGATATTTTTCGACCGTATTCGAGACCAAATCCGTTCAGAGGGGCTTAAATTTGTCCGTATCTGAGTCCGGATATTCAATATCCGATACCGTATCTGTATCTAAATACTCAAATCGTATATTTATGATGTTGATATCCAATAGTATCCTATCCAGCATGGTTAACACTATCCGTATTTGAATTTAAATCCGGAAAAAAATATGGAAACAAATATAGTATCGATGATATCCATCCGTATCAATCCGTTTTCATTCCTATACGTGGCTCATATTTTTTTGCCTCTTGGTTATATCTGTTTAATCGCATATTTATGATGTCGATTTCCAATACCCATAAAGCCTATTTTGGGCTTATCCATGAATGAACGACTCTTAGTCACTATCTTTTTTAAAATCGTTTGAATTTGAATCGGACATAAATATGCTATCGAAACAAATATAGAATGATGATATCTCCTTCCCACACCAAAGCTCCGTTTTCATTCGTTCTATTCATCGTGGATCATATTTTTTGCCTCTTGGTTATATCTGTTTAGCGATCAGTTTTAGTAGTAATGCATGTGTGACATCACCCGGACAACAAACACCCAACTCAACGGAGATGCCGAGATGCCGAGACGCCGAGACGACCTTGAGTGACAAAAAAAAAGAAAAAGAAAAGGAAAAACAAAAGGCAAGCGAGCAAGCCAACCGCCATGAAACAAACATTGAACGAAAGAGGAAACATAATGAAAATACAAGGCACCTCAATCGATGTGCTACCTAACCACAATGCAACACATCTAACCTAAGAAAACTAAGGGTGTATTTGGTATAGCTTACAAGCTGTCATGACTAAAATAAGCTCAAACCAATAGCCAAACGGTATGTTTTTTTGGAACTTATTTGACTATGTTTATTTCTCACCGCTCTCATTTGTACTAAAAAATAGAAAACTGGATCAGACCAGCTTATTTTGAATGCCACTTTTACTTTATTAATGCATCTAGAAAGCCTTTTTCAAATAAGCTATACGAAACAGGGCCTAAACCCAAAAGGAATTCATGCAACTTCAATAGGCTTGCCACACAAACCACACATAAAAAATTATATATCCAAAAATAAGCAAATTCATCCTCAACATATCCAACATATATCACATGGAAATTTTTCCCCAAAGGGAGATGCTTTCTAATAAGAAAGGAAAGAAATCAAAGAAAATCCTAGCAAATGGCAACTCCAGGTGAAGTAAAATAAAAACTAAAAAGAGATTTATTCTTTTTTTGAAAAACTAGATAGTCGAACACACTTCATGATGCGTCTCGGCCCACCACATTCTCGAAAGTGCCTAACCCAGCCAAGCCACTTGAGACGGTTCGAGTGGTAAAACAAGGGAAAGCCATCGAGCTAGCACGGAACAACAACTAAAGCAATTCATGCCACCTCACTTTGACGTGCCACATAGACCAAACATTAAACTTTCTAAACCCGAAAATGAATAAATACACCCCAAACACAACATAGCACATATATCATACAAAGAAAAATTTCAGCAAATACATCTAATTTCTAATAGAAACGCGAAGAAATAAAAAGAAAAATCCTAGCAAAAGACGGAAGAAAAATGAGGAGTCCTTTGTCCGACGTGCCACCCGAACACATCACATCCAATAAAAAACCCAAAAGAACTTATGCCACCTCACTCTGACGTACCATACAGACCACATGTTAAATTTTCCAAACCAAAAACGAACAAATGCATCATAGTCAACATGAGGTGCACATCTATCACAAGAAAAACTTTCATCAAAGACCCACCTCTATCCACAGAAAAACTTGAAGCAAAGACGAACAATTTTATGATAAAAATGAAAAAAAATTAGAGACAATCCCAGCAAAAGACAATTCTATCTAGATAAACGAAAATATTATTATGCCACGTCTCGCCCCATGCCTCTAGTCTATGACGAGGAGGGCCCAAGCCACTTGAGAGGCCGTGACAACTCGGAAAAAAGGAGGACAAGTCATCAAGCCTTCACGGAAAAAGAGAGAAAAGAAGGAAAGAAAAAAGGAAAAACAGGGCGCCCTCACGGCGAACTCCCACCTCCTATCCCCCCTCCTCTCTTTTCTCTCTCTAGCCCCGCACAAATCTCTCCTCCCCCTCTCGCCCTCGCCGCATTGCCCGCCGACGACCCCCGCCGGATAGAGAGGAGGAGGAGCGGCGCGGCTGCGGGAGGAGCGGGCGGCGGCGGAGCCAGCGGCATGTGCGACCTGGTGGCCCGCACGGGCCGGCACCAGCAGCGGTACGAGGATGGCCGTCGGCTAGTGGCCGGGTACGCGCTTGGCTGGCTCTGACTGACTGACTGATTGATTCCCTTGTCAATTATTGCTCCTAGTGCTTGGAGGTTCCCTTCCCGATTGGATTCGATTGGGTTGGGGCCGATTGCTACGTGCGTGCGTGCGTGCTCATTGCCCTCTTGACCTAAATGCGGTGCGCGTCGTTTTCTTCGCCACCGTACGGCGCGCTAGCATGGGTTCTGGCGAGTGGATCGTTGCGGCGTGGTGGTGTGCCACCGGGGCTCGATTGTTTTGTTTGTTGCGGTGATTTGCTGGCGTCTAGATATGCTCGCTCTCTTTTTTTTCCCCCTTGTTATTTTGTTATTATTAAAAAAAAACTTGCTAACAGTGGTGATTGTCGCGAATTGTTGAATACACGTACACTGAGCATGGAGGTCTTAATCAATGCACAGTATCTAGCTTGTAACACCTGTGATAGCGACAGTATTGAGATCGCTGTTTGTTTATTCCACTTATAGATGGTGTGTTAATATATGTTAGAAACTGTTGTGGGATTCTTCTACCCCGAAACAATACATAAAAGCAGTTCTGCTTGCTTGTTTGCATTGATATTAGGGCATGGTGGAAATGAATTGTCGTCTATGATGAATAGTTTGTCTCCCAACGCAAGAAGTGGCTCTTTAGTTCACTTCAAATCAGTATTGGTAGATGGCTGATAGATACAGTTCGGATTAGTTGGTAACATTGGGTATTCTTGTCATCGTTGTTGATAGCAAAAGGCCATGAATCAGTTCTCATAATCCAGGTGTTCATGATTGGTGCCTTATTTTTTCTACATGTTTTCTTCTTTATATAGCTTCTGTTTTTCCTTAGCTAGGACAGATTTTTCTATGCCTTGTGTCCAGTTTGTGGCTTCTCTTGAGCTTGTGGGAATATAGTGCCTATCATGAGACATGTAGGAATAGTAGCAATACCAGAATATGTAAAGCTTCTTAGGATATTTACATATCAACATGTAGCTACACTATAAAAGGGATCCTGGTCTAAACTGGGAATCAAAATGACCCATGTTTGATTAGGAAATAATACTATCTGGAAGGGTCAATTGAGAGTAGCCGAAAAGGTAAACTATCTATCTTTGTGTGTTATCATTATGTCTACATAGTCACCAGTGTTTAATGTGTTGAAAGTGCTTCAGAAATTGATCTTCTTTGTGTTTCCTTGTCCTCCTATTGTGTATTTGTCTGTTCCTGATCTTTAAGATGCTAGATGCATGTCCGGTGCTAGTTTTACCAAGCCTGCCATTGATATATTACTACTTTATAGTTCCTATCTGGTGTCCGAACACGATTTTAACACAGCAGAATTTTGTTCTATTGTACTACAGCCTTTGCGTTTATGGATCTAAGAAACACTGGCACTTATTCATAGTGGCATATCTATGTATTTCTGAATAATTTCATTTTCTCTGCAGATGCATACCATTTAGGTATAGAGCTAATAATGATGAAACCTCTGGTGACAAAACTAAGAAACTTGTGGAAGTTCTCATGATAAATTCCCAAAGCGGACCTGGTCTTTTGTTTCCAAAGGTACTATACTGTAAACATCTCCATCTTGCAATAATTAGAAAGTGGACTAGTCTTTTGTTTCCAAAGGGTATTACTGTTAACATCTTCATCTGAAATCCATTGCTAGTTGTGTACATGGATGGCAACTTTTATTGCAAACTTGTTCTGTTTCTGTGTTTTCACATAACTACATTGGAACACTTATACCCTATAGCAGTGCATATTATTATTTCAGTTAGTTCCCAAGTGCCAGTGTGTCTTGGGTTAGAAATCCAGGAAATCCAGATGAAGTAACTGCAATGTCTGAGTTGCCGACCTGGATTCCTTGGGCTGTTTATGAGCTTGTTTGCAAGCTTAGGTCTCATTTATTATTTTTATTTGGTCTGTTCACATGTTGGTTACTCTGACTAGTTTTCCGATATACAGTGTTAAGTTTTATTCATGTTGTATCCATGTTATTTTCATAAACCTGTCGTAAATGTCACTGGGCTGCCATGTAGAGATTTTTTTATGTTTGTTTTCTTGTTGCAGGGAGGATGGGAGAACGATGAAACTGTTGAAGAGGCAGCAGCTCGAGAAGCTATAGAAGAAGCTGGAGTTCGAGGTGATATAGTGGTAAGATGCCTATAAAGATGGTGTTTTTCTAAACTACTTTTCATCTTGCCCCTTTTCATTTAAAACTTTTTCAATAGTTAATGTATGCCACGTGCTGACACATGTTTTCCTGTGCTTCCATCTTGACTTATTCATGAAACTGATATTCTTAGATGATATGGAAACTCGTTATTCACTGTATTAGAACTATTCTTTTCAAGTACTATGCTTGGTTGACATGCCAAATTCTTTTAGACTTGACTGTACTAAGCTACTAATGCAATTTTATTGCTATTCAGAATTATGCCTTTTGTTCTCCCACTTGATCCTATGTTGCTGTTGTATGCCCCCAAATTGGAGATACTGACATACAGTTATAACCTTTACAGAGTCTAACTTCCTTGAAAACCTGAAACTATGTTAAAAAGGGGAAATAATTTATAGTTTCATATCCATTATCCTTGGAATCCATCATATTTCTTGCTGTTATTGAGTCAAGTCAAAAGCCCTACATTTACACATCGATTAATATCCTGTAGTTGAATGGGTTTAATGATGTGCAACCTCTACAACTAAGAACATTTGCTGGTGGTAATGAAATTATACTTGGCTTGCCTGCACTTCCGTAAGATGTCATTGAAGCTTATCTAGAGCCAGGCATACATTCTTAGTGGAAGAAACATGAGATGCACATTGTGTAGTGTTCTCAGTGGTTCATGACACTGATGTTGAACTAGTTGCTTCGATTGGATTTATTGTCCGTTGCTTAGTCTGGCGTGTCCTTCAACTGCCACAAGTGGGAACTCTTTTGGCCAATCTTAAGGTTGTAGTTGACATTCTAGTCTGAATGTTGGATAGCACAATCGAGATTGACATTTGTTCCTGCTCGTTGCTCCTGTAACACTTTTGTGCTTGTAGCATGCAGGATGTTTACATAGTGGAAGACCCATGAAATCAATGATTATATTTTCTAGAAGGCTCTTATATCTCGATGAACACATGTGGTGCCAATGAAGATAGCCTTAGCTTTTTTTCTCTCCTTGTCCTTAGTGCTGCGTCATGATAAAATAGTGTCCCTTGACCTTGATGACAATAGATGCTTATACACAGCTATCTTTTATCTGTCATTCAATTTCGTGAAGTGCCTATTGCAACACAACTTACTTGACCCAACAATCAATATATCTTGACACCATTCTTGCTTATATAATGTCATTTGCTTTCTGAATAGCATTTTCTGGGGCTCTATGACTTCAAAAGCAAGACACATCAAGATGTGTGCTGCCCTGAGGGTATGTGCAGAGCTGCAGTGTTTGCGCTGCATGTAAAGGAAGAGCTGGTCTCATGGCCTGAGCAGAGCACCCGGCAGAGGACCTGGCTCACGGTTCCTGATGCTGCATCAAGGTGCCGGTACCAGTGGATGCAAGAGGCCTTGCTCACAGGCTTCTCCGACTGGCACGACAAGTGGAGCAGAGGCGGCGGCGGCACTAACTGTGATCCGGCCTAACTGCTGAACCCATCTGCAGTCGTCCAATTTGTTCATCTCCTCTTTCCCTAGGCTCCAACCTTGCATAATGCAATAATACAGTGTACTTCTCTTGATATGCTGGGTTGGTCATTGACCCTTGATGTCAAAATGTCAGAATGGTTATCTAGTTATAGTGGGACGAGGTATATCTCATCAAGACGAGAATTCTCACAACTTTTAAGTGTCGATTCTCGGGCCCTATTATTTCTCTGTTTCAACTGCTGTCGTCGTGGTGCTGCAGTCACGCACCGCACGCATTTTGTAACTCCGCTCCTGATTCTGGAGATGCATATGCTATGTATGAACTGGTATAACTTGAAATCAAAAGTTGCCACCGTTGACTGGAGTCACCATGCAGTGAGTACAGAACCTTGCAATCTGTCTTGGGGGCTGGCTGGTGAGTGAGCCGGGCAGCCGACATCAAGGGTTCAGGTAGTGAGATGCTGAGCAAACCTATTTTAGTGTCGGTATTCAGATGTTTCTGTTTGTTAAAAATGGTGAAGTACTCTAGATATTTAGGTGCAATCGGTATACCAATGTAGGGAAAGTAAAAATGTATCAGAAATCAAAAGGAAAAAAAATCCAATCATGGGACTGGAAGAAGAAGAAAAAAAAAAGGGAAAGAGCTCATATGTGCTGACAGCTAATCATGAGATCAGTCAGTGTGACGGACCCAACCATTCACATAAGCACAGGGTTTAATCATTGCTCTTTTGGGCGTGCGGGGAGAGAGGCTCGAACTCTCGACCTCACGATCACTCGCTTCCAGCTATGAGACCTACGCGCTAGCCAACTGCGCAAGCACCCCTTTGGGCTATGCTCTTCAATAACTCTTTTCTATACGAAAATGTTCGATTCAGCACTAGTCATTACCAACGCCTGAATGCGCTGTTTGGTTTAAAGCTTCATAAACTTGTTTGGGCGGCGGCATCCAGGCGTCTGATTTTAGATGTGCATACGACCAGGATGCCTCTTCTAGAGCCTTTGACGTGTATTTGAGTATTTATATTCATGAATTTTTTTAGTTCCATGTTTTTTTCCTACATAATTGGTTATCTATGTTTTCTATTAAATTGCTAAACGAAATAGATTCCATTATATCCTGATATAGCTTCTGCAGAAGACTACCGGTCTGCCGCTAAATAAGCTTAGCCCGTTATGAAAAACCTTGACTCAAAGCGGTAAGCAAGTGCCGCTCCTAGACTCAAAGCCGATGGCCCCCGTTCGGAGCTTGCTGAAACTTGTCTAAAACTACTTAAAATTATTGTTCTGACTGAATTGTTGTGAGAGAAAAATATTATTCCGACTGAAAAAACAAACCAGCCGAATAAGCCGGCTTCTTGGTCAGCCGATATCATAGTCCTTTTATATGTTTGAGGCCCCTCTTTGGCCTTACGTTCCTGGCCTGAGATTCAGCCATAGAATTAGGCCGCAAAGTACAATGATTATTCCTTCCGCCCTAGCTCCATCCCCACATCTTGGTCCAGTCGTGCATGCGGTTCTTCCGGTTCCATTGTACTATACGACACCCAAAAGGAGCTGCGTGCGTAAGAGAATTGGATCAGAAGCAAAAAAAATTCATGGCTTTGCCGTCGAAGTGCACCGAAAGATGGTGTTTTTCAAACAACTTTTAACATATATATATATGCTCCGATCTGATCCCTACTGTTCTTGAATTCTGCAAACATGTTTCTATCGTCGTACACCATATTCGTTTACGCTGAAATTTGACTTATGTTGAAATATTGTGAGAGAAAAATATTGTTCCATGGCTAAAAAATAGTGCTGAATAAGCTCAAGCGAACGTCCATCTACTGTAGAATAGAATCCTACTGGAAGCAACTTGATTGATCGATGCACTCATACAGCCTGTTCGCTTGTTGGTTTCAACCAGCCCAAACCAGCTAGCCAACAGCGTTTTTCTCTAAAAAAACCAGCACCAGTCAATCCAAATCAGCATCAACACCAACCAGTGAACAGGCCCATAGATAGATACTAGTTATTAGATATGTAGTGCATGAGCGCATCCATCTACTGTACGTGTAACCAATGCAATCCGGTCACTTCCATCGATCAACATCAGCTAGGTTGAGTGAGTGGCTAGCTACATATGGATCCATATCCATCTGCTGCCTGTACGTGGAGTGATCAGTGGAGTCGTCCCAAAGCAGGGATCACGCCAAGAGAGTGCATGCATTTTTTTTGAGAATTCCATGCATGCATTTTCGCCCTGGCTGTTCTCGGTAGAGATGCTCTCAGCTTCGTGCATATATGAGAATAGGATAATTAAAGATGAATTAGGATCGTATTACAAATATATGCCTGATAATACCAATCTTTTTAATTTGTTTTGGTATTCTCAATCAAAAAATGAGGTCTGTTGTTCCACTGTTTGGTTCTCATTGTTATAACGATTATTGTCTTCGTGTAGTGAAAATCTGATCCAAATAACAGATTTTGTGGTAGATAGTCAGATTCTAGAATCGAAGTGTTCGGATCTCATTCTTATTTTTTAATATCATTCTTATTTCGGGACGATTAGCGCCGACTGTTCGGAACGCGGCATCCATCCGAACGTAACTCCCACATCCGCGCCCGACGCATGCAACTCCCTTCACCCCACGCTAAATCCCGCTCCGGAGGCAGCATCCGTCCGGACGGAGCTCCGCGCCTGCACTCGATGCCCGCCAGCATCGCATCCCGAGCCCGCCCGCATCGCGCGCCACAGTCTAGAACCGCGCCCCCGCGTCCGCACATGAACCACGGTGGTGCCCCGACAGCAGCACTGGACGACTACGGTAGGCCACTGTCCGCCAGCCACCAACGCGCATGGTAGCATGTGCAACACCCGATCTACTTTTGAAACATAAAGATGAAACATTTACAACGTACAACTGAAAACATATAAAACATTTGAAACATGCATGTATAGCCATAGCAACATATGCAACATCCAGATCCACTTTTCAATATAAGTCTGAAACATCTGAAACACATGAAAACAAACACTTGAAACATGCGTGTGCAGCCATAGCAATATATGCAACATCCAGATGAAAACATTAGAATCATGCGTCTGAAACAACTGAAACACTTGAAACATTGGCTTAAAACATGCGTATATTATCATTGCAATATATGAAACATCATAAAAATCTACTTTTACAACATCCAGATAAAACACTTGAAACATAAATCTGAAATGCCTGAAACAGTTAAACACGACGTCATCGGCGGCCATGACCTATCTGGTGGGGATTTACGGTAGCCAGCAAATTTGGGTTTAAGGGGACGTCGAGAGCAACAACCGACGACCTGCTGGTGGCGTTTGGATGGTGGCGGCGCTTTGCATGTCATGGCCGCGGCCAGCGAGGTGGATGGGTCACGACGGTGACGCCCCGCACGGCGCGGGATGGGGTGCGGCGTGGCGTGAGGTTGGGGCAGGTGCAGCACGGTGGCGAGTGAGGGCCCAATCGATACACATGCTTAGAAATGGGGCATTCGGACCGACAGATGTCCTCGTCAAAGCATTTTTTTTTAAACAACTCATCAAAGCATTATCGTTTTTATTTTTTCTAGGAGATCCACGGACGGCCTAGCAATAAATAACGCCTACTGGGAGTCTAGGCACCCCTATATATATATATAGGTGGAGCCCGCCAGCCCGTCTATAGTGCCTAGTTTAGTTTTTTTTATTAAAAAAACACCGGTTCCGTGTTGGGTGTAGATTCATGCTTGACATGATGCCATTTCATTCCACGTTAGGACCTTTTCACGATTGATCGGCATGAGACCGTGCATGTAGAAAGCAGTTGGTAGGTGCATATATAAGCTATACATATGGAGTGAATAAAGGAAGACTTCCTTTTTACAAGATTACGATCTTGCGCCATTGTTGAAAAGAACCAAGAAATGGGCTAAAAAGTTCCATATGTCAGGAAATTTCTGTAAGGGGAAGCGGTCGTTACACTTATCCGAAGCTTTTATCTTGGTTTTGGTACTTACAAGTTACACGTTTAGCTCCTTAAACTTCTTTCGAGTTCTTATCCTAGTTCTGTTACTTGCAAATCACATGCTCAGCTTCCTAAACTTGCCATAATTCTCATCACCATCACCATCACCGGACTTGTAAATTGCACATTTGACTCTTTAAACGTGTCCAACCCGTCCCCCCACCTCCCAAATGGCGCCGTACTCACCCCTTCACATTGCACGCGTTGGAGTTGTTCCAAATTCACTCTAGGATATAGGCCGGGCTTCTGACGGAGCGGAGCGGAGGCCCGTCGCCGGAGGCTTGGGCCGGAGGTTTTATTCACTCCATATAGGTTGAAGAGATCATTGTATGGTTTGAAACAGTCCCCTCATCAGTGGAACAAGAGGTTTGATTCATTTATGTTAGCACATAGTTTTAAAAGATCTAAGTATGATAGCTCGCTTACATCAAGCATCACCTATAATTTGCCAAGTTATATGTTGATGATATGTACCCACGCCCATAAGCAAATCACTAAGTTAAAGACTATTGAGTAGTGGTTTTGATATGAAAGATCTTGGTAGTGCTACAAAATTCTTGTTTGGACCCAGTAGAGGAGGTTCTCATTTCTTAGTCAACAAAATTATATCAAGAAAGTTCTTCATCGTCCTCATGCCCAAATCCCCACTCTTCCATCCTTACTTGTCGGTTGCTCAAAGGTGCCCTAGTACGGTATTCTATGATGAGCTTATCTCACGTGGTTTTGTCATATGCTATGAGTGTGACTATATGTCTAATCCTGGCAAAGAACATTGGAGGGCAATTCACTAACGCCGTGGAGCAATTCAAAGTGGGTGGATAATGGTCTTATTGGCTATGTGGATTCTGATTATCGATAAGGGTAAGGGCACAACATGGCAGCTCGCATGTTGCACTTTAGTGTGTCTCTATGGCATGGTAGGGTTAATTTGTAGTTTGCACCTGTGATGTGAGGTGGTAAAGATCG